GAATTTTGGCAGCTCATGGTAGGACAAGTAGCCCAGGCACAGGGAACCCAGGAAGGTTTCTCACAAGGGGAGATTCATTGTTTTCCTCCTCACCCCATTTCCCCACAAGAATTTAAAGGTTTGATGACGTATTAACCAAGTGAAAAGGGGAAGACCTTCCAAGTAGACAGAACAGCCTTGAAACGGTATGATGATTTGGATGAAAAGCGAGAGGCCCAATGCAGTTAAAGCATGGTATCCCTGAGACGGGAGAAGAGAGTAGGGAGAAAGACAGGGACAGATGGCACTAATGTGGCATTGAGCTTCCTTTTATACCAAATTAGGGAGAAGGTTAGAGCATGGCACATGCAGAAAATTATCTTTTAGAGGAAAAAAATCCCAAGAAATTAACAAAAAAACAAAGAACACAGGCTCAAACAGAATGAATTTTATTTCCTACTAATTTACGTGGGACTTTTAGAAGAGGGATATCCCAAAATAAAACAACTCCAACAACTACTTTAAGGTGTCACAACTCAAAGAGGGTGTAAGTCACTCCTTTTAAATTTTAATAGCACCTTGTTATCTTCCTTTTAGCACCTGTCGCTTTCTGCTTGGGAGCATAAGTATCTGTGTCTTATCTCTAATGGTTTATCAGCCCTCTGAGCGTGAACCAGGTCTTGTTCATTCATCCTATAAAATTTTATTACAACCCAGTCTGAATAGGCAAGGCACCCTCAACAATGCCTAGCACATAACAGACATTCAACAATTGTTTCAGAACACCAGAGTTACATGATATCAGAACTAAAAGACTCTTTTTAATTTTTTAAAGTTTGTTTATTTTATTTTATTTTATTTATTTATTTATTTATTTATTTATTTTGAGAGAGCAAGCACAAGCTGGGGAGGGACAGAAAGAAAGAGAGACAGAATCTCAAGCAGCCTCTGCACTGATGGTGCAGAGCCTGATGCGGGGCTTGAACCCACGAACTGTGAATCATGACCTGAGCCAAGATCAAGGGTCGGACATTTAACCAACTGTGCCACCCAGGCTTCCCTCAGAGCTGAAAGAGTCTTAAAGATAATTCTAATCCCGTTCCTCAGCTTTTATGAAGACTCATAAAAGCTATGGACTCTCTTCCCAGAAAAAAATCACACACAGAAAACATTTTACATATAATTTCAGGGCCTACAATGCCCAGAGGGGTAAAGTTAACTTATCCAGAGTTGTGAAGGTGTAATAAGTAGCATAACCAAGCCTAGAACACAAGTTAAGTTTCCTGGTTCCCAGTTAAGGTCTCTTCCCACTACAAACTACAAATGAACAATTTATTTGGGTTGTTCCCTGCTGGGAGGCTGCCAGATGTGGCAATGTTCCTCTGAAATTCCTTACTACAAAGATGACGCTCAGGAGAACATGCAAGTTTAGTGGCTTCTGAGGCCCAAAGACAGTGTGGACCTCTGCCAAGGAGAAAGAGGGGCAGCAGGAGATGTTCAGGGTTACATGGAAGCATTACAATAAACCAAAGAATCAAAAGTGATGTTGAAGTCTCCCCAAGTAGAAGAGCAAAATCCTTCTTAACTGTACTGTTTACAGGGAGTGCTAGAATCATGACTCAAAGCCAGACCTTCTGACTTTCAGGCCGGTGTTGTGTCCACCTCACCAACAAAATCCTCTGCACATCCACAGAAATCTAACCACCACTGAAGCAATCCTGTTGCTATGGGAATCCTAAGAAATGGGCTAAATAATCTTAGAATGCTTGGAACTAACTCCCAGTTATCTGTGATAATGGATTCAAGGAACATTAACATATTTTAAATCTGCAAATACTATAAAACTATTTGGCTGAAAATGTAATCTGCCTCTACTTGCCACAAACCATTCAAGTCAAGTGCATATCATTTAATGTGAGGTCCATACTGAAATAAGTACTAAGAAGATACTCTTTTAAAGTACCACAAGTAATGAAGCCAAATCATTTGCGTTTCCCTGTGATAACCTGGTATATGGACAAGATCAAGAGCTGGCAGAAGCAGCCCCACCGTAGATAATATCCAAATGAAATAACTGGAAACGACTAAAGGATGACCCCCCATCCTTTCTACCTCCAATATTATCCAACCAGTGTGTGTCTGATCTTTAGTTCTTGGCAAAAGTTGTACACTGTCCTTTTCTAAAATGGACCCCTGTTCCCTTTACCTCCTGGGCTTTAACTAGGTGCTTATATCTTCCAATGCCATGGGTAGGCTTTGTCTTGTAGTGCCGACTGGTGCTCAACAAAATGCCACCTAAAAGACAGAAAATAAGACAAACCGGTTTCAAAACTCTTCCAGGGCAGACAGATCACACATGAAGAGAAAAATTTTCCACCACAAGACTGGGAATATTTGAGGACAGCAGGCCACTTACCGATTAAAGGACTAGAGCTACTTCTTAATCCTGGACTGACTCTCAGTTTACCCCTTTTTTTTCTCAACTTTTGGGCCCTGGACTATATCCAATCCCCACTACCTATCTTTCCTTGAGAAATTATCTCCTGCTACAGCCACTGGTGGTAGGAGGACAAAATACTTTCTCACAGTGTTCTTGTTTTCTCTTGTCCCCCAACAGGCAATAATCCTTTTAAAGTTTCTCATATGGGCCATACAGAGAAGGAGATGGGTGACAAATATAGCCAGGTAAGAGGACAATCACAAATTTCCACAAAGTTTTACAAACCATCTATTTATTTGTGCTAATATACACACATTGCCAAGTGAATAACAACAAAAATAAAAACCTAAGATATAGAACAGTGTGTATGTATACTAAGCATAAACCAGGATCTCCATATACATATTTATTGTGGTAGGCCCAGAGATGCACCACTTGGATCTACCTTCAGGGAAGCCCTTTAATCCTAATTATTTTTATCCCTGTTTACAAATAAACTGTAGCTTGACACATGAAAAGATGTTTAACATCACTCATCATAAAGGAAATGCAAGTCAAAACCTAGCAGAATGGCCAAGATCAAAAAAACGAGAAACAAGTGTTGCAAGGATACGGAGAAAAAGGAACCCTCTTGCGCTGTTGGAGGGAATGCAAACTGGTGCAGCCACTGTAGAAAACAGTATGGAGGTTCCTCAAACAAGTTAAAGATAAGGGGCTCCTGGGTGGCTCAGTTGGCTAAGCATGCAACTCTTGATTTTGGCTCAGGTCATGATCTCCCAGTTGTGAGATAGAGCCCCACGTCAAGCTCCACACTGGGCATAGAGCCTGCTTAAGATTCTCTCTCTCTTTCTCTTTCTCTCTCTCTCCCTCTGCCTCTCCCCTCCACACACTCTCTCAAAAATAAAATAAAATAAAATTTTTACATAAAGCTAAAAATAGAACTACCCTACAATCCAATAATTGCACTTCTGGGTATTTACCAAAAAAAAAAAAAAAAAAAACACTAATGCAAAGAGATACATCCATCCTGTTTATAGCAGCATTATTATGGAAGCAGCCCAAATGTCCATTGATAGATGAAAGGAAGTAATGTGTGTATATATACAAAGGAATATTATTCAGCCATAAAAAAAGAATGAAATCCTGCCATTTGCAACAACATGGATGGATCTAGGGAATATAATGTTAAGTGAAATAAGTCAGTCAGAGAAAGACAAATACCATATGATTTTGGTCATATGTAGAATTTCAGAAACAAAACAAATAAGCAAAGAAAAAAAGAGACAAAGAAACAGATTTTTAACTTTAGAGAACAAACTGATGGCTATCAGAGGGGAGGTGCATGGTGAGGTGTAAAATAGGTGATGGGGATTAAAGAGTATACTTACCATGATGAGCACAGGGTAATGTATGGAATTGTTGAATTACGATACTATAGACCTAAAACTAATATAACACTGTATGGTAGCTATACTGGAACTATTTATTATTTATTTATTTATTTATTTATTTATT